GAGCAATCTAAGCAGCAGCATAAGATATTTATATATGTAAACACGAAAACCACTATTAATATAAATGTGTAATTTCAATTCAATAACTGCTTATCAAAATACCTGACTGTAGAAACTTTTCATTAAACTGATTACGAATAAAACTCTTGAGAATTACTAAACAAAAAGGAAATAATTACGACAAAACCAATATAACATAATGAAGCGCCGACAAAGTCAAAGCAGAAGCTCCGTTAATCAATAAAGTGTGAAATGAAATTTAAAACTCAGTCTTGTCATTTCGATGGAACTGCAAGCGGTAAGAATCTTGTATAAATGTCATGCAGCTTATGTTTCCTGATTTTTTAATCAACACTCCTTCGTTACAGATTTAAATAAAAAGTAATAATAACAACATGGAAATGCACACTGAAGTTAGTCCCGGCCTAGCAGCAGATTGGGATAGAACCGTAGTCCCTCCACGGACTCGTCGCGACACACCTTGCCCAGCCGCTCGGCCACTAGCAATCGCTCCTTGGCCAGCAGGAGTGAGATTCCCAGCTGCTTGGCCAGCTCCTCCACAGCCAGAGACTCGGCAGCCTCCACCTTCTCCAATGTGTCAACGGCAATCAGGTCATCGTCATGGGAGTCCAGTTGTAGCACTCTGGCGCCACTGGGAAAGCTGCGCAGGCGTATAGGACCACTAAGCTGTTCGCAGGCGTGCAGCAAGTCCTCAGGCGAAAGGAGTTCCAGTCCACGAGCGCGGTTCACGCGACAGTAGACGTCCGCCAAGGACATCATACCGCCTTGCTCCTAAGAGGTAATAAAGTGTCAATACAAGCTTATAACTTATTGATTGGCTTCTTACCTCAATGGGATCTAGCAGCATCTCGCAAATCTGTCGGGCCAGGCTGCTGAAGTACGCCGAATTGCTGGTAAAGTTGTCCCGCGTGACGGGATCATCGATGCCCAGGCTCATGAGGTAAGATTTGAAACGCACCGTTTCATCGTCGGATATTTCTCCCTTCTGCTCGCGTATCTTGCTGCTAATTGTCTTGGAAACTTCCACCATGTCCTTGGCCATGGCCATCAGAACACTAAGATCCTGAAAGGCCAGTGCTATGTTCTCATCCGTGGCCTTGGCCTTTGCCTGCAAGTGCCGTTCGATGCCGCCAATGCCTGTCCTCTTCTGAATGCGAGCCAGCCTGTCGTTGGCAGGTTCCGAGGTTGGACTGCTGGCCACGCCATTGATGATGGTCTCGCTGGTCAAGAGGATTTCCCACACACGAGCATTCAGAGTCTCCCGCAAGGCACTGTGGAACTCGACACTTAGGCCATTCTTTCCAGACAATTTGATGTGGGTGGCGCGACTGGTGTCCAGCGGACCGGGTCCTTTGTCCGACGCTGGCGGATGCAAATGCATGATTATGCGAGTCTTGCGGCCAAAGAAGTTGGAGGCAGTAGTCTCCTCGCTGACGGATATCACATAGCTGAGTGGCAGGCAAAGAGTTACGGCGGCCCGGGCAATCTCTCCAGGGCGACCCCAAAACAGTCGGTGTGTGGTGAGCACCACTTCGCCGTCTTCAAAGTCCGTCTGAAAGGATTAAACCCACCAGTTGGTTCCGGTTATGGGTAGTGCGCATTCACTAGCTGCTCACCTTTTGGTCGCCATCGTATATTTTCACCTTGTTGTCGCGGCTGACGAAGGATTCATTGGGACTGAGACGGGCCTCCACATAAGCGAAGCGATTCATTTCGGATAATTGTTATTTATCCTTCGAGTTTGTTTGGTTGTGACATTGGCTGGAGATGACACATCTTTCGTGGCTCCCCGTTCCACTTGCTATTAGAGATGGCATCTGGCTTGTACAGTAGGTATCGGCTATGGAAAATCAAATATATAACCAAAAATAATATGCACACTTACTAATATAAATATATTGCAGTAGTTGTCGCCAAATAAATGTATTTTAATGTTTTCTAGCTTCCTTAAAATCGATTTAGGCGTAAAATTATATTGACATAGGAAAGGCAAATAAACAACCAGCCACAAAACAATCGGCCTGTTGCACACACAATCGGACGGTTGCTGACTATCGATAAGTGGCTGGGCTGGTGCGGGAAGAAGAAGCAGAACGCTGCAGCAGCTTCTAGTTTCGTGATAGTTTTCCACAATTAGTGCTGAAATTAATAACCACAAATGCCATTTTTCCCTAAACAAGTGCGAAATGACGTGCCTTGCCTGACCTTCTTACATAACAATGCACTAGTCGCGCAATAAGCCAGCCACACATCGATCACCCGGGATTAGCGAGACTTTGATTTGGACTACATGGCGACTGTGGCGGAGGGCAGCAAAATGCTCGAGGCAGCTCTACAGCAAATGGACGGCCTCATATCGAGCAGCGCGACACAGGCGGGATCGGTATCTATATCCGGAGCAGGGTCTTCCCTGACGTTCAGCGAGCGCAATTTGATTTCGGCCACCAATGTTCTGTCAACAGCTAAGACTTTGGCTCTAGCCCTGCAACAGGTGAGTCACACGGAATAAGATAAGATCGAGAAACAGAGGGCTAACAGGCTTATCATTGCAGGTCGGACTGGCTGCTCCAGCCCCGGATCCTGTTACGGCGGCAATTATCAGCGACTGGCTGGAGACGCACATCCCTCGTCAGGATTCCGACGAGCGGATGCGTCGCCTGCAACGGGATAAGGAAGGCTTAGCCCTGCAGTATCAGATGCTGGCGGAACGAGTGTCAGAGCAGGCGGACAAGATTATCGAGCTGGAGGGCCTTATAACAGAAAAGAGCCAGCAATTGTGCACCAAGGAAGAGCAGCTGCAGCGACAGATGATCTCTCGCTCCGCCCTCGAGACGCAGAAGCTGGAGCTAATGAGTGCCTTAAGTGAACTAAAACTGCACCGTACTGCTTTAGAGCAGGCCAACGATGGAAGTAGCGCCATTTCCGCCAGTATTCCCTACGGCAGTTTGAGCAATATAAACCAGAAGGGCTTCATGGGATCCCCCAAGACGCCGCCCTCTGCACTGCGGCATCAGATCAAGCCGCAGTTCCACAGCCTGCCCAGATCGCATGGCAAGTTGGTGAACAACAATAACAATCGTGCCTTAGACGTCAATGCCAACAGCAGCGGCAAGCAGCGAAACGTGGCCTTCGCCTCGAACGAACATATTTTGATTGAAGACAATCATCATCAGGCGGAGGATGCTATGACTTCCAGCTTCATGTCGCAGTTCACACCCTCACCAAAGCTGAGGGAAAGATCTGCCCGTGGCTTGCGCAACATACTCGGCAAGCTGCGGCGCAGCAACAGCAGCAACTGCGAGCTGACCGCCTTGGAGCAGGCAGAGCCCGAGTTCCGACGAGGCGGTGCCCGCGCTACCGCTGGCGGTCGAATTGAGTGGAGTGCCCAGACGCCTTTGTTCGGTGAGAATGAAAAACATTGGACCACGTGGGGAGCGCAAGAGGTGTGCAATTGGTTGGCATACATGGGCCTAGGCTGCTATGAGGACAATTGCAGGTAAGTTTGCCATCAATAATAACGTTAAACCAGTTACTATATATAATTTCCGACCACAGAAAGTGGCTGAAGGCCAATCCATCAGTGTCGTTCTTCAACGCCTCACCTGTCGACATCGAACGAGAGCTGAACCTAAAGATGCCTCTTCACCGGAAGAAAATCTTGTTGGCCATCGATGACCTAACTGGAAAGGAATTCGATGATCTGACACTGAAGGCATCTTGTTTGGATGTGGCATGGGTTCTACGCTGGCTGGATGACATTGGCTTGCCCCAGTATAAGGATTACTTTATGCAGGCCAAGATCGACGGTCGAATGCTACACCGCCTCACGCTCGAGGACCTGTCCCAATTGCACGTCAGCTCCTGTTTGCATATAGCCTCCTTGCGAGCGGGAATCTTGTGCATGCGCCGTTTGTCGTGGAACGCGGAAGGTCTCATACGACGCTCCATAAAGGTGGTCAGCGATGATGAGGCCGCAGCCACTCCTGACAGGGACAATGTGGAGCTGTGGACAGCGCATCGCATAATGGGATGGCTGCAGACCATCGACCTGTCTGAGTACACGCCCAATTTGCGTGGTGCTGGCGTCCATGGGGCTCTGATGCTTTATGAGCCGCGCTTCAATGCGGACTTGCTTGCCGACCTGCTGTCGATACCACCGAGCAAGTCCCTGCTGCGTCGTCACCTGGCCATGCACTTTAAGGAGCTAGTCGGTCGGCCAGTGATCTTGAGTAAGCGAGATGCCGAGTCGGCACCCGGATACCAACCGCTAAACATTACAGCTAAGCTGAAGCCAGTGAAACGCACTCAGTTTTCGTTAAAGCGTCGCAAGAGCTCCAAGGGCCAGAGTGACGTGGACTGGACGGAGTACGTCTGTCCCATGAATGCCAGGGTGCCCGACACATATCTAGCTGACGCGGCTAAGGAGCATGAGAGCTCAATGAGTTCGAACTGATGACGAAGTCGAAAGGCGCACAAATCAATTGAAAGAAAATAATATGTTTTTTAGTTGTAAGCCCACGCCGGGCCAAGGATCCCCAACTGAATGAACTGCCACCTGAACCAATTATGCAACCAAATCCACAAGTTGACAATATTAGTGAAAATTAATCTGATCGCGGGCACGCCCAATCTTCCAAACATCTTTCCAATGAATTCGAGTCAAAATTCTTTCGTCGACCTAAGCATACCAGCAAACATTTTGGAATTTTTTATATTATCTGTAACTAACATTTAGGCTAATCTGGAAACGAGATGCAATGACATCTTCTAAATAAGAATATAACGATGATAACGAGAAGTATTCGCAATGGCATTGAAACGACCTTGAGAGCGAGCATAACCCCTATAGACTTATCGCCGATTTTGGAGTTTATATTTTGTACTAACACGTAACTGTACTGACGGATATTTTGTAAAATACATACTACGATGCCTTTTACAACCAAACGATAACTCACTCACTATCTACTCTTGTATATGGTTAAACATTGAGTTTATTTGTTAACAATAACATTTTATTAGGCACTAGAAAAACTGATGAACGACTAGGAAGCGTGGCTGAGGATCATTGATCGCGTTGTTGTGCAGCCCGCGTGGACGGAATCGGCTTGGGTTGCTGTGCTCCACCCTCAACTGGCAACGCCGACCGAAGTTGGGCCGGCCATTAGCCCATTAGCCCATTAGCTGGTCTTAAACTTAAATCTTTGGCAGTGCTGTGTGTGGCTGTTTCCTGGCTGTCCTTGGGGGAACTCTATGTCGTCTGGTTGGCGGCTTGGGTTTCCAGACTCGGCAGCCTATCCTCCCGGGAACCGCTCTGGTGCTTGGCCAGATCGCTCTCGGGTATGTGATCCTTCCAGTTGCGGAAAAGGTAGCGCGTGAACTTCTTCAGCTGCCTGAATTTGCAATAGGTAGCACCTTCGGCGGATTGAAGCTGCTGGGTTTGGATGAGAAAGCCTTTCTCCTTGAAGGTTTTCTCCAGCTTCTCGCGCTGCTTTGATCGCCTCGAAGATCTTCGCTTGCGTTCGCTCTCTGACGAGGATTTGCTTTGCGTGTGACCGGGGCACACTGCTCCGGGCATGGGACTTTGGGAGCTGGAGCACTGGGAGGCTGGACTGTGTGGCGCTACCGCAGTGACCAGATGGTTACTGCTGGGCAGGATCAGCGTTGAGGTGGGCGACTCCGGCGATATGTGCAGCAACTCTGGACTGAGGTCCGTCGATGGCGCTGGAATATCCACATAGAGCTTCTCCTGACCCTGCTGCTGTTGCTGCTGCTGCTGTTGTTGCTGCTGCTGATCCCGGGAGATGAACTCGTAGCCTCGCATGGTCTTGTCTCCGGTGCCGTTGTAATACCGGTAGTTGCCCTCCGCGTCCACCGAGAGCATCTTCTTCTCCTGCAGCGTTGGCTTGGCGCCGCCGGTGAACTTAAACTTGCAGATGCTCACCTCGTTCGAGGGACTCGACGAGTGCTCGGCGGGCATGGGCGGGATGAAGATGGCTGACCGCTTTCTCTTCCGCATGGCCAGGGGCGTGGCTTCATTGGCAAAGAATCCGCTGGGTATCGGAATTTTAAGGGATAGCTGGTTGTCCTTCTCGATGGTCTCCAAGGGCACAGGCAAGCCTCCCAGGCTGCAGGACTCCACCAGCTGCTGGTAGTACAGACCAACTGGCTGCAGGAGCAACTTGGCGGCTGCCATTGACTGTTCCTCGCTCCCTGCAAGCTCCAAGGTCAGAGGCTTTACCGCACTCAGTGGTGTGGTCCGATGGGAGGAGCTGCCACAATCTGTCGTAGTGGTCGTAGTGGGTGTGGTCCTCGGCTTCTCGCTGTCGCCGCTGGAGATGGAGAAGCGATCGCCGCTCTGGTCACGCAGGCACAGATTCAGCGGCTCCTCAGGCGGCACCGCAATCGTGGAGGTAGACGCCGGCGGATTAGCACTGACCGGCATCGCAGGCACCGATGCTGGAACAATGGTGCCGTAGTTTTTGTAGATCAGGTGGCAGATGTCCGCCTTCTTGGGCTTCCGACCACGACGTGGCTTGTAGTTATCCAGCGTAATCTCACCCATGTAGGGCAGATCGGCGTACTTCAAGGAGTTCCGCTTAGAGGCGGCGGTTACCTCTGCACTTTTGGCCGGCACCGCTGACGTCGCTGCGATGGGTGAAGATCGCGCGGCTGGTGCTCCAATTCGAGGAGCGGAAGACTGCTTCTGCTGCTGGCGCTCGGCACTGCGCTGGATCTCGGCAATCTTCCGCAGCCAGCTGCGCACGTTCTCGTGGGCCTGACTCGGCGGAGGAGGTGGCGGCGGTAGCGCAGGTCGCGGTGGCTGGCGACCCTGTGTGGCCTCGTAGTGGGCGGCATACTCCGCGGGCAGAGCTTGATGGTGGAAGCGCAGCTTCATGGCTCCCGCATCGCCTCGCTTTCGGGATCGCTGCTGGCCCTGGCTGTGCGCTGGCCTAACTGTCTTTTGTGGTAGTGCTGTGGGTGGCTGCTCCTGCGGCGGCTGCCGGTTCGCCTTCCGGCTGCCCATCAGCAGATTGGCCTTCAGCTGCTGCTTGGTCAGCGGACTGCAGGTGCCATTGTGCGGCGTTTCGTGGCCGGCGCTTTTGCGCGCCAGTAGCGTCTTGAAGGGATGGTCCTCGTCGTGGGCATCGTTGGTGGCGCCATGCGAGATCAGAGGGTCGTCGGAGCCCTGCAGCAGCAGCCGTGTGCTGTTCAGATCCAGACGGAGTTGCGGGTGCTCGGGCGTGGGCAGCCAGCACTCCAGGTCGGGATCGTGCTCCAGTTTTATGCTGGGTAGCAGCTGGTCCAGATTGTTGCCAGCCGGGGCTACTGGACCCAGCTCCCCCTTATCTGCGCTTCCGTTAAGATCGCAGATCCTTGTAAGTTCTTGCATGCTGATGCTGATTTCGGCTAAAATTAGTTAAGAGAAAATTAGGTTTGTATTATCCATGAAGAAAATACTTTAATATAAAACTAGGGGTATTCACATTACTAGTTAAAAAGTCTTGATTGCATAGAGCTTTGAATATTGAGCTGGACATTGACTGCCATCAATGGTAATATAAGGAATTGGTGTAAATACCAAATATCTCCCTATACGGTGAATGTTTTTCCGGAAAATAATATGGAATATGGAGTTTCAACCGCCATTTCAACCATAAAAAGTTGCAGGTAAATACGTTGCGTATACGCAATGTGGGGAACACGAAAAACACGTTGTGTTGTTATTTTGATGATCGCCGGCAGAGGAACACGTTCGCGTTCACGGAGACGGAGGAGGAGGAGGCTGCTCAATCTGTATCTCTCTCTCGGTCGGTGGCCAGCACGGGAATTCTATTTAAATGTCCAAGAGGAACTGGCAAGTGGCGCTCTCTCCGCAGGCAGCACACACACAAACGCACGCCGCACTTTGCTCCGAAACAGAAATGTTGTTTTTGTGCATGAAATTCGATTCCCTGGGCCAAAAGCATGCCCATAAAAGGTCTAAAGGCCCGGCCTGAAAGGCTGCGAAGGGTGTGTGTGGTTTCCACTTGTAGGATAATGATGTGAGATCGGGAACTGGTATTTACCTCGCTATTCTATCGTTTGTACGTTTAAGGTGCCCTGGAAAACTGGATATCTTCGGTTCGGTTCCCTTTTCGGTTCAGTCTTGGCTCAAGCTGTCCTGGTAGTGCCCGGGGATTCAGATCACCTTCAAATCGCCACGGTCCACGGTCCACAGTTCACTTCACGTTGCCAGTGGCAGTTGGTCGACGGGAATCGCCGCTGTGCGCGTGCACATCGTGTTGACATCCAAAACGCAACTAGTTGCGGGAAAGCCGAGTCGCGGAAAGCATCGCTTCTTCGGAATATGCTCCTTAGATGGACCGCCGCGGAGAGCACGGACCGCCCCACACACAATAGAGGAAAATAGCGCGGACGGTCGGCCAAGTGAAAATCAAATCAAATTCCGCTGCTCTTTGGCGGAGATGCGTTGTCGCTGCTCGACACCGATGGATGTCGTGGTCCGTATTTAACGCCAAAGACGAAGCTATTTCGTGTGTGTTCATTTTTAGAAAAATCCAACTTGTTGCCGGCCATATAGAAGACCCCTCACCACTCGGCCAGGTCCGCAAACACTACGCAGAATGCGGCGGCCAAAAAGAAGCAACAAATTCTGCCCAAAAAAAAAGAAATTATATTTTCGCTGTTTTTCATTCATGGGCTGTGTGTCCGCCAACTTGTTTGTTGTATCAGCGGATCAGGGTGAAAACAAATTGGTCTCGTTTCAGTTTCTCCCGCAGCCGTGCAGAGGGAGTGGGCTGTCGAGGGTATCCCCTGGTCGATCAGTGCCCCTCCTTTTTTATAGCTCTCTTTCCCAGCATCTATGCGTATATGCGATCGCTCAGTTTAATGGCATTTTATTTATAGCACCTGGCTACTTCGGGTTAGGGCAACTAAGAATCGCCTGCGCCTCTTTCGGATTATGATTTTTCGGGTAAGGTAGGGAAAGGAAACTAAGTGAAATGAAAAACACCTCCCGAAATAGACAACTGATCGAGGCGGATACTCTATTCTGGGCAGCGCACATGGCTATATAGGTCAACTTCGGCTCTAACTGGAGTGGGTGCACAGAGGGAAATTTAGGTAATAAAGTGAAGTAATAAAATTAGCAACGTCAATTTGAAAACGGGTTTAAAACGTCAATGGAGATCAATATTTATACACCCTGATATAAATAAATTTAGAAGAATTAAAAAATAAAAGTAAGCGTATTGTACAATGTGTTTCGCTTTAAACCCGTAATCTGTTTCAAAGTACAAAAAATTGTCCGATTAAAACCACAGTCCCGTGCCAGTTGTAACCATGATTAATATGAAATGACACGGAATGATCTTTTTTATTAATTATTAAAAATGTGTACGTACAGATAAGTATGACGGCACTGTGTGAGTGGCTGCCTTGCGTTTGTTTTATTTTAATAAATTGCTTTGATCTGTCATGATTTTCAAACTGAATGCTAGTTACTCAGTGATATTTGGTCATGGTCTGGTCACTAATTACTTTCTCCACTGCGCAAAATACGGGAAGATAACCTCAGAAACGCGGAATATCAGAATGCAAAGCACAATGCAAAAGCCACTATCCAAATGCGAATAGCCGCCTTTTGGGGCAGCGTTCTTCAAGCTACGCATTTGGCAGTCCCAAGACGATAAGCTCCCTTATTGAACAGATCACTCAATCATAATAATAATAATAATACCTACCCGCCTTTAGCTGCAAAGAATGGCATTCCCGATCGATCGTTCGTCGACTGTTTCGCATCGCCTGCAAGATCGAACTTCGCGGAGATCACTGTGCAGCCGATGATGATGAGGATGATGACGCGGTACCGCTGGCAGTGGCAGTGGCAGTGGGTGGGCGAGTTTTTCGCGGCCTGCAGAAGCTTTACATTCTACAGTTGGTTAGACGGCGGTTAGACGGCGGTTAGACGGCGGTCGGCGGTAATTGGCAACCCAGAACCGGAGCTTACATCACCACCAGATCGGTTGGAATCGGCGGCGGAGTCCAACCTACGGATGCGGAGCGCAGCGGAGCTCTTGAATATTGCACATCTATTCGGCAGCTGCGGGTCTGCAGCAGCTGCGGCTGCTGCTGCTGCTACTGCTGCTGCTGCTTTTTCTGCTGCTAGCGACTAGCATGTTTATTGAGCGAGACTTCAGTCAATATCTGCTTGCGCGAACGAACATATTTGTATTTATGGCCATAACTGCCACTTCAATCGCCCACGCGCGGTTTGTTAACCTGGCCCGAAGCAAGTGAACAAGCATGTCATTTGCGAATTCTAGTGACCAAGTCTTTCGTCTGGCCTTGTCTCAAGTTCACCAGATATCGACGAGTATTCCCCCGGGACTAACTCACTTCACTTCAGCCATCATTTTCACATGAAATTGAATTTTTATGTTCACTAGCCGCTTGGAACACGCGAGACAATATGCAAATGCTTGGCTGGAAAAGGCGAACTGCCGCTCGATTCGCGATTTCCATTCAAATCAGATTCGTTTTCGTTCTGTTAGCCAATTCGGCCAGGTGGCCAATATTTGTAAGCCAGAACTGCCACATCGCTGGATTCAGAATCGAGAGAGAGAAACAATGGGGCTAAATGATATTTTTATGGTAAAAGTTTATTATTTGCAACTTTATTTTTTAGTTTCTTTTTTGTGTTTTGTTTTCATGTTTAAATGTCTATAAAGTATATATAATATATATTTCTGCATTTTTTGTGGTTTGTGTTTTTTTGTTAATTTTTTTTTAGTTTTTCATAATTTTTTTTGTTTTGCTTTGTTTTGTTTTATTTAACTTGCCAGTTGTTCTTTGTTTATATACCTATTACACATTTGCATAAGTTTTTGTGTATAATAATTATTATTAATAATAATTTAATTGTTGTAATTATAACCATGGCTTATAATCTCCTCCGACTCTCTATATCCAATTTCCTGCTCCTCGTTTACTATATGTATGTCCCCGCCTGCTTATCATCAATGCGCTTATGTCGCCCCATCAGCGACGCCCAGTTTTCATTTTTATTTGCATTTTTAATTTTTATAATTAGTTTTACTTTTGGCAAACGAAACAAAATGTACACTGCTTGCCCATATTTTGAAACTGGCAATAATTAATTAATACTAGGGTGGTTGATATTTCTGTTATTACGATTTATACCTCCATCTCATCTTATTGTTAGCCTTTCGCCGCACTCCGGATCTAACTAATCTGCCTTTGCTCCTACTGGTTGGTTACGGTTGGATCAGTGTGCTCCGGATTATGGGATTATGGCAGACCTTAGGTCTTAGATCTTGAAGCAGATTGATCGTAAATGAACCTCTTTTTTGTGTCTAGGATGGTGGCGGCTTCTTTAATCGATCGGTAGTTATTGTTACTGTAGTATGTACTCATCTATTATTATGCTGGGTTTATTTATGTTGTATCCTGCAGTAAGTCGCATAAATAATGTTTAAAATATACTTCTGTTAATAATGCTTTAAGTATTAAAATATTTATAGTTTTGTCCATAATTAATTAATAGTTTTCTTGTTCGATAGCATTTACTTGTGTTGTGGGCTTCAAGCCGATTTCCGCGTGGCAATGCATCGCGGAAAAGGCCGATTGAGTATATATAGATATATATCTGTATTGTTTTTTCGGTGTTTACTTTCATCCTTTTGTTTTAATGAACGAATGCACAATTTTACACACTTCGCCATTCTGGTTTCATTATTCATAGATTGTATTTAATGTACACATATGTATAGTAGATAGCGTATATTTCTATAAATAGTTATATAAAGACCTTTTTCTTGCTATTATAAATAATTTACTTAATTGTTCTTCACTTCTGCTCCACTTTGTTTTTCGATCAACTACTTTTGACTATTACATCCTTACCATCCTCCTCCCAATAGTTCGGCATTTTATGTGTGTAAATATAAATTTTGTCATATTTAATTTATGTGAGTATGCGTGTTATAGCTGTGTGCATGATTCTGCCCTTGTTTCCGCTTCAATTGTGATGAATTTGAAAAAATGCATAAAGTGAGAAATGCTCGATCTGTGTATAAAGTGCATTCGATGTCGGAACTGAAAGCTAATTCAATGGAATTCTATGGAAAAACTATTGAACTGTTCCGGTCTCACAGGGCCAGTGATCCTGTTTATCCACTATTTATATTTTATTCTTTTTGATTCTGAAACCATTTTACATTTAACATTTAATTCGTGTTCTTATTCTTGATTTCGCCTCGTTTGGTTTTGTTTCCTCTATCGAACTTGAAATTCCTCTTGACAGATTTTAAAGGAACTGATCACGAAACGTGTTGGGTGTAAAAGCATGCTTTGGATTTGCCCTTTCGGAATCGGTTTTGCATTAAATTAAATGGTAATAAATCGTTATCTGCATTTGTCTGTCTTTACATTTATGCTACTAGTATTAGGTGCAAGTTCTCTTAATTTAAAATGTCAGTTTTTTAATTTTAATGTTAGGTTTTTATTTTTGTTTTCGTTTGTGTTTCTCATTCACATTTTGCTGCTAATTTCTTATTGTTTTCGTTAAAGGTGCTCTTCAAAAATCTCAAATAATGGATTGTTGTAATCATTGCTACGTAATTGTATTTGTGTCGACTTGGTTTTGGGGTTTGGAAAAGACGGATGTAATTACATACATAAACCTGGAGCAATTGCAAATCATTCAAATGTGAGGATAAGTTGCCAAAATCAAACCACATGCCGTTTTGCTTATGTGTGTGTGAGTGTTTGTGTGCTTGCATAATGCTAAATACGGACGGATTTCTAAACGGAAAGTATATAGAGTGTACAAAGAAGCTGTAGCTGTAATACTGCATCTGAGAAATAGTTTCTGAAACGCATCTCAAGCTACACTCAAAAAATTACAAGTGTAATATGTGTCCTTATGATGTGTTGATGCTAAAATCTAGACTAGCAACTATTCTTGTTTTTCAATAATATGCAATAATTGAACCCTTTGGTTCGGGTTTCTGTTTGAGGGGCTTTATACTATATACAATATAAATTCGCTTTGACCATTTGGTTTTATTCGATTAGCCTGCTGCCAACTGCACGAGTTATACATACATATCTCTGCATCTCGTACCTCAATCTAACATTTGGCTAAGTACTAAAAGATAACAGTTTTATCTACAAAAAATAACTTTTGGGCCTTTTCAACGCCAATATCTCCAGCCGTACACCTATGCCTCCCATATCATTCCATCCGATTCGGTTTGTATAATTGCAAAATTGGTTTATAATGCCTGGTTGACCTTAGCTCGCTAATAAATCTTTCTTTGTTCATAGTAATAGTAATAATTGTCATAATAATAGTATTATAATATATCGTCTATATAAGTACGACTAGTTTCTGCTTTTAAAAATGTTTTTAAATTTCTCCCTTTTCATTTTGTTTTCATATTTTGTTGTTGTTGTATTTTAAATGCACTTTCTGAGCTTTCTTACAAGCGCCGCCAATTATTGTTGCTGTTTTTGTTATATTCCTATGGCTACTATAGCCTTTCCATTCCCCATCTATGCCCATGGTTGATGATACTCTAAAGATCTAACCCTATGCCTATCCAAGCGAAATCTAGTTGGTAAGCAAAGCTTCAAAAGTGTGTCTCGAGCTTAAAAATATCGTATCGAAAAAAGTGCGGAAGCTTTGAGGGAAATTATAATACAAATGAATTGAAATGCTTTGGTTCAATTGCGAAATGATCATAGTTATATGATAAGTTTAGTTTCTATTTATATTTAACTGCATGTATTACCCTGTATCCAATATGTCCTTCTTGTGATTCTATTAAAACCAAACTAAAAATGCACTATATCAAAGGCAAAATGTGTTAGGCTTGGCAAAAAGATATGCACCCTACCCTTTTCATCCTACCTATCGATCCTACATTCCTCGTCCTGCTGCCGTTTTGGGCCCATGTAACTGTGTCTGTGTGTTGGTTGGAGTGTTGATTGGGTGTCCTTGTAGGTGTAGTTAGAAAACTAGTGTATGCAATTTTGGTAAGTCCTTGGTTATGGTGGGGTTAAGTGCTTGTCTCTATCGTTATTTATCGTTATCGTTAGCATTAGTTTAGTTTTACTTTTACGTTTACTTCCGTTTAAATACCTGCAGAAAAGTGTATCTAAATATATTTTGATTAGTAAGTTCTAAACTTGGACTCCAGTGTTTTTGGTTGTTTCATGTTTTCTTTTGTTTCCGTGTCAGTGTTGTAAGCTTCATTCACTACTTTGTCTAACCTTGTCATTAACTAGTATATAATATATTTGTGTATAGTATATATAATAAATAAAGAAGTTAGTTTTTATTAGTAATGCCTTGTATAGAGTAATAAACATTCTATAAGAATGCCACATTCCGCATTTTGTATAATAAAAATACATTATGCGTAGGACAAAATCTATTCGCATAATAGATTAAGTTTAAGGAACGATCATCGATAAGAGACTTCATTTTCATTAGTAATGTACAATGCTTATTCTTAGTTTAGCGCTACTCTTAGCTGGCTACAAACGAAAAAAAAGGAATTCAGAAATAACCAAGGAAATCAGAAGGAAATGCAATGCCAATGGGGTCCCTTCGATTTCATTTATCTTTGCCGCCAGCTAAACAATTTGAGAATCGCCGAGAAGACCGCCAAGTTATAGACTACGGTTCGCATATCCGCGTATTTGATATGATGCGTGTGTATGTGGTGGTGGTGAGTTCGTTGTGTGTGTGTGCGTACAATTTTGAGATAGTAAAGACGCGGAGTATGACGACGCTAAATGCAGATTGTAGCTTAAAAGGATGTTTTCTGGCACTAAACTGGATTTTGGCAAAAATTGCAAAGAAATGTGCCAATTTTCATATCCCCTCAAGCGAGATGGGCGAAACCTGTCCATTTTTTAGTTATGTGCTTGTTATCTATGGTTTATGTCTAGGAATACTTTAATTTTTACGAGTTCCAATTTTTACACTTTATGCTCAAGGTACAATTGTCTTTTCTATTCGTTAAGTTAAATATGAATTCGACATGTTTTTTTGTTAATTATTTAATTAGCTTTCTTGTTTCTCTTTTTTTTTTGTTTGCTTTCATCACATTTCATTTCGAATTTGAATTAAGCGACTTAATTGTTCCTTTATATTGTATTTTATTCGTTTATCGATTTAATTTTGATTTGGCTTTAGTGGTTTCTTGTTATCACCGCTCTTTAAAATGATCATTAAAATCAAACTAAGCGCAAACGATAAATAAATTTGATTTTGTTCACATTTTTTGTTAAATGTTCGTGTTGTCACAGCCCTTTTCGTGTTTTGGTTTTTGTTTTTAGTTTATCAAAAAATACTTAAGGGAGAACATGGGTAAACGATATTCAAATTGGAGGGTAGGGTATTATGCCAAATTCTCAGTCCTCTGTTTCGGGTTGGGATTGTGTGTTTTGGGGGTATGTGACCTAGTCTGTCCTGGTATCTGCCAATTGAAATGAATCAAAAGCCGGATGTCACAGACGCGTAAAATAATGAGAAAATAAAACAAGTTTGGTTGCTTTGTATTTTGGTTTTTCAATTTGTTTTCTCTTTTATTTGTTCTGCTTCTCTTGGTTTAGTTTAGTTTATTGTGTGTTATGCTTTAAAAATAATAGTTACGATAATTTAGGTTTTTAGTATCCTTCCTCTTGGTATATAATTTGCATAATTTTGCCAAAATCAGTTTAGCACAAAATGTATTATTTTGCTTGATTCCGTATGTTTCATAGTATAGTGTATATGATCTAAAAATGTTTGTATAATAGCATATAATAATAATAATTATAATTATAATAATAATTCTTTATATATTAATTTAAATACTTGTGTTCGTATTTTCAATACATAGATAAATCATAATTCGTTAATCATAATCATAGTACATAATAATAGTAAATTATTATTATCTCAATAGTTTGACTTGGTTTTTAAATTTCTTATTCTTCATTAAGGTTTAATTTTCTTTATGCAATAATTAACTTGAATTTGACTAGATCGATTCATACAAGATCGTAAATACATGTAGCGTGTTCGTGTATTTGGATGAGTTTTTCTGAAGTAAAATTCTAGTTTAGCATTTTAATTCAAAGCTGTCAAAATTCTTGAGTGTCTCTGGCTGAACTACTTTTGAATAGGCGCTAAAATCAGTTTGATAATTTTCATATATGTTATGTACTTGTATGTTTGTAGGTATATAATTATACTTGTATGCATGTGTCGTTAAATAACTGCAATTTCATTCGTTTCTCTCAGTGTGGGACTTTCATCCGCCTTAGGTTCATTTTCTATATGTACAATATTACTCCTGTCGAGGCTTAACATTTTCTGATTCAAAAGAGGAATAATGAAACAGATTAAATCGATTTGACTTTGAATATAATAATTCCCCTCACTCTGGCCCGCAACCTATGTATTTGCCCAGATTTCTAATACTGTCTCAGTGATCCGATTGGCAATACTCAGAACGGAAATGAAAACTGTGACTAAAATTAAAATTGAAATTGGTTGAGAGGGAACTCATAAGTATCGCACCAAACTATTTATTGCACTGGTAACAAAATTAACTTTAACTCTGATAACAATTTTCATTCCATATTTTAATATATCTTATAGTTTTATATTTGTATTTGTTAATATTTAAATTTTTATCTTTAGTATCAAATACGTCCCGCAGATGAAGAATCCTCTGCAGGACCCACAGACTAGGCGACTCTAAACTTATCATTTTCACTATACAAACTCTAAATAATTGTTAATTTTCTCCACCCTCTGTTCTTTATCCTTTCACTATCCATAATCTTATTTTTTGGCATATTTAGCTGTAGATTTGACTCATCGGTCCTTCTCCTCTTCTCGTTCACGCTTTTGTACAGATTTTGCTGCTAAATTGTTAAAGATTCGATTCAACAGACAGTTGAGTACTTGTTGGATAAAGATCTCATTTTACTTTTTTTTTATTGACGATAATATTTAGTTAAATTTCAGTGTGGATGTGCGGGGTATTGTGTCGTCCTATGTCAGTGTGAAAAACAAAACAAAAGTATTGAATAAATGTAATAGGCCGTGATAAATTCTCTAGTTTCGCTAAAAAATACTTGCTTCCTTTTTGACTGTGATAAAAATTCTAATGGTAATTTTTGTTTATAATAACAATCAATAATAATTATAATATGCTTAGTGTTAAATAGTTTGCTTAGTCTGGCTAGGGCGCGCTATGGTCAACTTGATCGGAATCTGAATCTTTATCTGTATCGGTTTCGTTCTCGGAGCTGGTTGTGAAAATAAGTGGCCAAAACTTTAAGTTTTCTGCTGTTTTGTATATCTATTTTGTATATATTTTTATAGTAATACTTTCATAGCAAAATGTTTGTTATGTTTTCCATTCCTTCAGTAGCCCTACTTATATTTCCTTTCCTTTCCCTTTCTTTTCTTTGTGTTTTCATTTACTTTTTGCATTTTTCCTTCCTTTTATTATATATTTCTATGTATATATATATATATATATGCATGTATATCTGTAAGTACCTGTAATTGTTTTTGTTGAAAGCAGCTAAGTTTAAGTGTAAAGTTGTTGTTTGATTTTATTCAAAATTTTGTTTATTATTCTATAAAATCGTTTACGATTTTTAAATACACTTTTTAACCAAACGGTATTGAATCAAAAAAAAAAATTGAGAAATTTAAACAATTACAAGAATTTTCTCCCTCAGAGAAAATATAGGCCAACGTAAATGATCGCTGTAGATATTGTATTTCATAATTCTTTTTAATGTTTTTGTTTAGCTTTCTTCACTTTGATTCTCTTCAATAGTTCTAACAAATCCATATTATAATATTTCTAAAATTAGTACTCATTTATATATTATAAAAAATGATATTTTTGCTTGTGGTGAGGCTGGTCGAACCCTTTGGGGTTCGACTTACCCCTCAAAGCACGTCGCATATTAAGTGGCTTGCTCTGTCCCGTCTAGTACTAACTTCCTATATCCGTTTTCTTTTACTTAAAATTAATTAAATTCGAATTTTTGTGTTAATTTTTCATGTGTACATATAATCTGTTTATGCATCTGTTGAATCTTTGCCATTTTGCTTACCACTAAATGCTAAAAAGTTGCAGACCTACTTTGTCTTCCTTCTCACCTAACTTCCTCTATTTCCCATCTATATTTTAACCCTTTCCATTAACTGCTGCCTCCTAATTTACTCGATTAACTGTAAACTCCGATCGAGTTCATCAGATTAACAAATTCAGTTTTAATAGTTCATCTTTTGTGTTTGCTTTGTTTTTCAACTAATTTTCCTTGCGCAGAGTTTTTAATTTTTATAAATTCCCATCACCAATTACTCATATAAAATGGTTGCTGCTCCTATCGTCTTTAATTGTTTTTTTTTTTGTTTTTTTTTTTTTGTTATTTTTATTTGAAAACCCAGATAATTTTGGTCTCTTGCCAGTCAGTTTTTGTCTCAAGTTTTGTGTTCAGTGTGGGTGTGTAGTGGTGTGCAATGTTCTTGTTCTTTAGTTGTTAACAAAACTATCAATATCAATGTTTGTTTCTTGCTTCTATAAATATATACTTTTATTAAATCGATATTTTGGCAAAAATTCTGTCATTCTTCTGCATTTCTCAATTTATAATTTTGTTTGTGGTTTCTTTTTTGTTGGGTTTCTCTTATTATTTTGTGTGTACTGCTGTACTGCATTCAGTTGAATGTATAATCGGATAAATATATATAAATATATTATATATATAAATCTATTCAATTTTTCAGCTCTAAGGTGTTTTCTTTTTTTAATTTACATTTTTCTTGTTTACTATTTTTTATTTTTTTTTTTACATACGCTTTGCATGTTTCATTTCTATAATCGTTTTCACATAGCATGGTTGACGACCATCTGAAATTGAGGGAAGGAATATTATAAGTTAAGGATCAAAAAGAACAGGTATATCCGATACACGTACATCCTTATGCTATCGATACATATAACGATTATTTCGATTTAATACCGGAACTAGCCGAAAAATCGTTGTTCTTCTTTCATACTGAAATATTACATTATATTTACATTTCGGTATTATTATCGAAACTCGCTATACATGTCGATACGATCTTAGCTTATCGATGATTTTGTAAGTCCTTCGATAATCTATAGTTTTGCTCACCCCATCAATAGTTGCTCCTTATTGTAGCTGCAGTTGTTATGGTTTGCTGTCGTGTTTGATGTTGCATTTAGGCCTTTCGCTTTTGCTGTTGCCACATGAATAGTCTCTCGACCAGTTCAACTTTGGAGCAATTGGTGTTGGATGATGGATCGCTTTGGGATTGGGACTCGGGTACGTTCCTGTTGCTGTTGTTGTTGTTGTCGCTGCAGTTTTCGTTATTATTATTGTTGTTGTTGTTGTTGTTGCTGTGATAGCAGTATGTGCCACTGCGCCAGCTGGCAAATGTGTAGGGTATGTGGGCATTGTGGTTGGAGCGTTCAGTGGGCAAAGATAAGGTTGGCCTAAAGCTGCTGCCAAGGTTATTATAGTGGGCCGTTGTGGTCAATGTTGCTGATACGGAGGTTACTGCCGATGTGGGCGTGGCTGCTGAAAATGCGGTAGTTGTTGGCAAAGCGGCTGTTGCTGATGTAGTTGCTCCAGTTGGTTGTTGTGAATTGCGTTTAAGGAACTCCGATTGTTAATAGGGTCGACTGGCATCCTTTGGCCGCTTCAATTGAACTTTCAGTCTTTTCATGCCAATCTGGAAGCCATTCATGGCCTGAATGGCCGCTTGAGCGCTGGCGGGATTATCGAATGAAACAAATCCTGTCAAGAAAGTAATTATTATAGTTAGACAAAACGGCTCAAGGGGCGGTCTATAAAAAAAATATAACACTACCGAAACATTTGCTCTGGTTCGTAGCACGATCAATGAAGACCTTGGAGCTGATCACATTGCCAAAGGGCAGGAACATTTGCATTAACTCGGCGTCGCCAAACTCTTGGGGCAAATGGTAGATGAAGAGATTGCAGCCCTCGGGACCGGATATCGAACATCCTGGGAACATCAGAAAATCTTAAAGGAAGACATTTTAAAGAGAAGAAACAAAGTAGAGAACAAATTAAATTTAATAATGAGGAAAATCATAATTTATAATTTTATGAGTTATGTCTGCTTGCTTGTTCTTGTTTTGTTTGCATTGAATTCGAATTAGCTTGACTTGGGCTGATGGATATATTCGATATATTTGTGGTCTGTGTTCTGTGGCTGATCTTGTTTCTGAACGAATCAACTAAAACTAAGGGCGCAATATAAGTCTGCGGAAAATAGGAAACCAAAAACCAAAACCATGAGCAAACGAACAGTCTAAATGACATACCGTTTAAAAGGTTTCTATGCATATACTCTTGAGATGCCTAATAAATCTGGCCATATATATACTTAAGTTGTTAGCTTAGATTTAGCCCCAATTTCCGTATGATATACATGTGTAGTATGTGTTGTAGTTATTATATGGGATCCACACTTAGATGGTTGTGTGACTGTGTGGTTTATCATGCAGGTAAGGTCTAGAGGATACACAGAGAAACAACAGACTACGGCGCACAGATATCGAAATGTAACCAAAACGAACTTTACACTCAAGTTAGGTTTATAGTTAGCATATAGGGTAGTATACACACACGAAACACAAAGGTATATGGCACACACACATACACACAGATACAACCACACCCACACACTCTGTATTTTACGGGAAGACAATGGATTACTTGTGTCTCTGCCCCTGACGAAAGGCAAAAAGATGAGCAAAACGAACCGAAAAAGAAACATAAAATTTTATGAGCAAATGTCTTCGAAATACGCCGACGGTCTTTATATGATTTTAAGCAGTTTATATGTAATTTTTACGATCGCATAAAATGCCGTTGAATGCAGCCATTAAAAACGATTTACGCCTTGCTCGCCAACCCCACACAAAAGGGTTGAAAACCCAGCCAGCATCCCTTCTACTTTTTGGCAGTGAGTGGTGGCAAAAGGGATAAAATGTTTATCAAAATAAAATAAGGCCGAGTGAAACACAGTATGCAAAGTAATTAATTTTTATGGGCTTTTGTTAAAAAATTTAATTTCCTTCCGCACAACAAATACAATTAATTACTGCTCATCGTCTGCTAGATCGAGGGCGATATCTCCGAGTTTTTCCGAGTGTAGAGTGTGTTTGTGGGCGTGTGTGTGTGTGTGTGTGTATGCAGCATGTTTACTATGACAAAGAATTGAACAAAATTCAGAATCGGTATAGACATGTACAATGTAAACGGATAAGTATTTGGTCAAATGCAATATCGCTCAACAAGAACTGAAACAATCGTACGTGAACGTGTAGTAATCGGGGAATCGGGGAGTCGGAGGAAGATGGGGAAAATGGGGGAAAATGGGGATATACATAGGTGATTAACGAAATTATAATGAAAAGCTTACCTTCACGCTGAGTGGGTGCAACCGCCGCTAGGGGAGGTGGTAAAGCTTGTGGAAACTGTCCATAGACGGCGGGAAAGGCTGCATTATATATAAATAATTTTGTTTTTGGTTTTTACACAAATTCCGAAACATTTATAAAGACAACACAACAATTAAGAATACGTATAGATATATATATGTATATGTTTTAAGTATTTAAAATAGTTCTCGTAGTTTAGTAATCAACAGACAGAAAACCAATTACTAAAAACCAAACTAACTAAATGTTGTTAAGCAGCCATAGTAGATCGACTGGATTTGAGAATGGGTTAGAATAATACGCTTAACACTGAATCGTTGACTTCATATCAGCGCACCGAAAACGGGGTTTTCTAATAATTTCGTATTTTTTTAAACAATTGTAATGGAAATGAAATAAACCAAAAGAAAAAAACAAAAGCTAGCATATATTAAAAATGAACTCTGCATTTTCAACATGTACTCAGCTTTTGTTGCACAAAAAATAATGAATAGGTTTTTATTTTTTTTTTAGAAATTAGAGTTAAGTCACACTTTACTAACAATAAATATTTATGGCATGACACAACAATTATTAATTATTCGATAAAAACAGTAATGAATGATCGAGCTGTTTTTTCTGTTGTGGTTGGTGGGGTTCATTGGAACATAATCCGATGCTATTAATGAAAATGATGCTGGTGACGAGATGGTGATGGTACACAATGCCATGGGTGATGCGGATAGATGGTCTAAATGTGTAACTGAACACGATTCAAATGACGTGGCAAAATTACTCTCAACTCTCAATGGAAATTCGGCACATTGCAATCGAATATAGTTTGTGGCAGCTCCAACGGTCTGCCGCCAAGCGTGTCCTGAATCTTAAATGCTAGGCTTAGAAGCTGGCAAATACTCACCAACTCCTGGAAACGGTGGCAGACCAGGGAAGGCATGTTGCAGGGTAGCAGCATCGCCGTTTGGCAAACCTTGTGGCGGTATAGTCAAGTGCAGCGGATCTGCAACAAACAGTTCAGTGGCTATAGAAAACATTTAGAAATGTTGTGTCCGTGAGATGCGTTCTTGGAATACTGCATTCTTAGCACTGCAGTTAAATAAGTTAGCAAGTTACTTACGTCCTGGGAATGCCGTTTGTGGAATGCCGTTCGTGAAGACGCCGTCCGCGGCAGCCGCCGCAGCAGCAGCGGCGGCCGCTCCGCCGGGCTGTCCGTTGGGCGTGTTGGCGCCCATATTGAAGTTGGGCATGGTCGGCGAGGGCAGCGAGGGGGGCTGACCGGTGCCGTTTAGGCCATGAGGTATCTGCGTTGCCAGGGCCGCCATGGGGTTCATGTAGGCGGCTGCGGAACCGGGTGCCGTGGCAGCGGCGGCCATCAGGGCGGCCTGTTGCTGTTGCTGCAATTCCGGAGGAGAGGGGAGCTGCTTTATATATAGGTGGGTGAGTGCGCTGGGGTGGGGGGAGCGGACTTACCTGGGCGTAGGCGCCGTACGGACTGAACTGATTAAAGACGAACGGATTCAGCAGGTTCATGTGACCGGCCATTTGCTGCATGCGCCTTATTTGTCGCTCCTTCTCCGTGTCGGCGTATTTGACGACCAGGCTGGAGGATGCGCCCTGGAAGATAAGTGAAGAGTGGAGTGAAGTGGAGAGTGGAGGTGAGTGGAGCTGGTTGAGTTGAGTTGGTTGAGTCAAGGGTTGTATCGAGTGCTCTGTCATTGCATATTTATAGGCGGCTTTTCCGCTTTGCTTTCCTCTTCTTTGCTGGAAAACAGGAAATCCTATTACAGGCCATTATTTTGTGATGACAGCGTTGCTGTCATCTGGGGGAAAGCACCACTGTGCACCTGCTTCCTTTGTTCGACTGCTCATTATTATCTTATTATAATTATGTATATACGAAAAAAAATATATATACGAGTATATATCAAAATAATTGGCATACGCGCACTTCGATTTGCATTTCTATTCAAAGCGGCTTATGGGCTCGCCTCCTACCTTTTCCGCCATGCTCGTCTGTCATTGATTTTGATATAAATGCGTTCAACAAAGACCTGCTACTAGACCTGGGCTCTTACATTTTCTTTGCTTTTGATGTAAATTAATTAGCATAATAATGGCAGGCTTCGCATTTCGTGTGCCCCCCACTCGGAGCTCCTTTCCTTTCCGTTCCGTTCCTTTCCTTTCGAGAGGTTTCGATTTACGTATGACAATTTGAATTGAATAGGCACTTCCAATATTCGGTAACATTCTGTCTTGTATTAATTAAGCTTGTTTTTGTAATATGAAACCTTTTTCCCGCTGCTGATGATGATGGATGAAGTGGGTGGATGGGCAGCTACGTAGCTGGTTGGCTGCTTGTGGAATGGTTTGTGGAAGCAGAAGCAGAAGCAGAAAAGCTTTTATGATTTTGCAAATCATTAATCAAAGTAACAATGATATTGTGTTGCACAATTCACCTCTCCTTGGTTACGTGAATGGGTGTGTGGGAGGGCTGTTAATGAGTCTACAAGCGAACAGGTGCTTCAACTATAACGGCTATCTGCACTGCCTTGAACATAATTTTAATTAATGAAATATGAAACTCGAGATTATGCAAAAGGCCATAAGCAACGAGCAGTCCGTGGAGTTCTGGCCCAGGTGAAACTATTCCTGTTCGCACTGGCATAGCCTGGAGATGCTGGGGAGATCGTGTAATGAGTTTTAATGAGATGCCTTGAATATAAGACCCGGCATGGCCGGCGGTTCTCATATCACAGGAAAATTAATTTCTATCTCAGGCATACGAGCTATTTGTGCTCGAAGCTTAAGGCAGATTAAACACGAAAATAGTCCATCACAATTTCGAATGCGGTGAGTTGGAATGAAGCTGGTTTCAACCTCAATTGCCTGCCATTGAAGGCGATAAACCTCCATTAACCAGAGCTAATCTGTGGCCCTAATTGTCTCTGCCCTCGGAGCACTATGCAACAGGCGAGGACCACCGCAGAAGCTCATAAATTAATTCATTAACGTCAATTTAATTGTCTAATAATCCCCGGCTCATGTCAGCTGGCTGATGGCCAAAAAGCTTGGGTTGAACACAACCAAAAAAGAAAAAGAATAGCACAAAAATTTATGTGGCTCACTGGGGAGAATTATGGGGCCTAGGCAGAGAGTTCGGCGGTTTCAGGCAGTAGTCATTCACTCAATTTGAACGTTTATTATGTGCTCTATATGTGCACTTGTTTGGCCTGTTCACTTCCGTTTCCGCTTGACGAAGACGACAACGTCTGCAACTGCGACTGCGACTGCGACGACACGAAATTCCCATTCAAGTGAATTGCTGCCGCCAAATGAAATGAAAAATTCAACACGGCACACAGACACATCCTTGAAAGGACTCGATTTGAAGGGAGAGAAAGAAAGGAGAGAGAGCCAGTTGGCAGCACGCCTAACCAGAACGAATCGCAGTCGTGCTTCAGTGGCAAGTGCAACAGGCGGCAGGCTGCCAACTAACAAGCCAACTAACCAGAGAAGGTCCTTGGTCCTTGCTGCCTGCTGCCTGGTGCTTGCCGCTTGGGCCTGGACTCGTGCCAGGCGGCACTTTTGGCAGCAATCGCATGTTGCATGCCACTTTTCGGGGCGGCGCAAACGTGACGCCATTAGGCGATGGGCCCACGGTCCTTAGCCTCTTACTCGGCCCAATATTTTTTTATTGTTTTTTAATGCGGCTCACTCAAAGTTCTTCGCAGCACTCTCTTCGATTTCTGGGGATTTTAGCTGCCTTTTTTTTTGTTCGCCTTTTTTGGCAAAGTTTCAGACCGCACGGTGGCCAATTACAATTGAAGGGCTTACAGTGCATTTAAAAAGTAATTTGTCTGCCGCCCCAAAAGCCGTGCACGTATTTATATATTTCAATGTGAAATGCAAATGCGAATGGAAATTGCCAGCCAAGACTACGCTCCCAGGGTGAACCTGTCGGTTTTCGTGGATCGGGGTCTGGGTTTTCGAGGGGGCATCAGGGGGTCATGGGCCCGGGGTAATCACAGTAACCCGTGTTCACTAATGGTTCTACAAGCCACAGGGGCAGCCGGTAAGCCCGGGGACACGGACAGGGGCGTTGAAATGCAGCCAGGACACATACATCCCCGTACTCCCATCCTCTTACATAATAAACTCGCGCCGGGAAGTATGCAACGTTTACCGAATTCAATGGGTGCGGGAATGGGATGGGATGGTAGTAGTACGTGTCTGGGGACATGTTAACATGGCAGTCGTGCCAAAAATTATTATTCCCGCCTCGCCACGTTCACTGTGGCGATGCCTTTGGCTCCTGGCTTTGCATCTGCTGTTGCTGCTGCTGCTGCTGCTCCTGCTTTTTGCTTGTTGCATACTTTTAGGCGCGAGTGTGAGCGCCGATTTGTCAACGCCTAAAAGGACAACATATTTCTTGTCCACAACGTACTGTACGCATGCATAAAAAACGTTGAAAGCAAATGGCCGGCAAATGGTTTTAACAAATGAATTATATATATTTTTATATGCAACTGATTTGCATTTTATAGTTTGCTACGTTTTGCCGTCGGTTGCTTCGCTTTTCATTTTTTCCATTTACTCGTTTTGGCCGCAGCTTGTTTTAATTGCTAAATGAATTGGCCTGGCCTGGCTCGTCGGCTCAGCTCGCTTCGGTGTTTAATGGGAAGCAATTTTTATCTATCAATTAAAGCAGCGACAGCAAAATGTATTCAAAATGCAAGCCCATAAATTTCAACCTAATGGTAATGGACATTTCTTCTCCTTTTTTTCACAGTACCATCTGTTGATGGTGCGATGCCAGTTTTTATAAAAATTTTTAGCCAAAGAGTAAATGGATTTAAGCTTTTTGAATGTGTGTGAAATTGATTCAAAGTGCTGGCGCGAAATTCCAGTCAATAGAGTGGCCAAAATAGTTCCTGCACTTTGTCCACACCATTTGAACACACCGGTTGCGGCACGTTTTGCTGGCTAAAACGCCTAATGACGTTTACACGGCCAACATAATTACAGTAATAATGTGGCTGAGATTCAACTCCCAACCTGGCAGCTTGGCAACCTGGCTTTCATGGTGGTGGTCGTGGTGGGCACAATGATGATGACATTAGCGAGGTGTCAGGCGACAATTTAACGAGCGACAGCGTTGCACACACGTATGCGCGAAAAGGAATCCCAATCCCCATGCCCCATGTCACATGCCCCATGCACCGACTCCCGACTTCCGAATCCCGAACACAAGCAAAACGGAGTGTCAGTGTCAGCGTTTTGTGTGTGCTACATGCAACACCATCTCCATGGAGCAACAAAGCACATTCGTCACGAAACAAGAAGGCAGCGACATCAGCGTGTTGCGACCGGCCATTTTGTATGCTTTTAAATTAGCCAAAGTGTGAAAGTGTCATGTTTCGAAATATGAAATTAAGCAGGAACAGGAAGCGGTGCTCAACGTCGAGCAGGACGAACGGACGAACGTTGCAGGACGAAGGACCTGCTTGTTTTATGGCGTGCATGCTGTTGATATGCTGTAATTTGTTGGCTGAAAATTAAAAGGGAAGTGCACTTCAATTACCGTTTGTTGTTCTTCTTGATGCTTCTTCGAACCACTCGGCTGGCTGGGAGTTTCCAGGAAAGGTTTTAAAGAGCTTCGAGAGAAACTCTTAAAAATGTTAACCCATAAAGCCTTAGATAGAGCCTTCATTTGCATGGAAAACTGCTGCACAATGAGCGAGAGTTCTCAACGAGTTTTCCAATTAATTTTCACTTAAAAGACAAACCTGAACTGAACCCGAAAAACTCTCAATAGAACAAAGTACAACCGAGTAAAAGTGGCAGTAAAACTAATTACAAATTCGTTTTACCATCTTTCCATTCCGCTGCTGCTGTCAGCGGCAGTAAGTCGAAAGCAGAGAGTCATGTCAAAAACGAAAACGCTTTTCCCTCAATACGAATACGCCGCATGGAAAGCCACAGCCCAGAGTAAGTAATCTTTTCCGGCAAATAAATCACACCATTGCCGCGAGTGGGAGTCGCAGTCGAAATTAGTGTAAATGCCACTAAGCTACCTAAAAGTATGCTCAGCATTAACGGAGTCCCGCCACAAAAAATCCGGAAATTTACGTACTATGCGAAAAGTTACTTCTTTGCGCCCTCGAAGCCCCCGAAAAGTTGCGACGCGCTGTTAACCGCAACTCTGCCCTGGACAACTGGATGGCTGGTTGGATGGGCAAGGCAATGCATACATTAAACAACTTTTGGCTCATTGCATTCTGGCCGGGATTCGCCTCATTCCCGCCGCCGCTCCCCCTCGAAATTGGCGACCCGACAAAGGGCCGCCGGCGAAGCGTAAAATGCGGGCAAGCAAAAAGCAGGACTCCGACAGGCGGCAGGATGAAGGACGAAGGACTCAGACGACGACGGCGTTGACAATGCAACTTGGCCGCGGCCAAAATGAAAAACTTATTTAATTTACTTTGCTTTTTGCCACAGCGCCAGCCATTTAATTCAATTACTCGCCGAGAGTTCTTTTCGAAAGAGTCCTGCCGCTATCCGTTCCCCTACAGGGCCTAATAAGGCAATCAGCGGGGCTGAAAGTTGTCAAAGGC